ACAAGCCAAGTACCACCGACTCCCATTGGCGTCACGGTCAACCCTGACCGAATTCTCATCCTCAAAACCACTACATAACACAAATAGTTGGTCATGTAGTCACTAGACTATGAAGTACTTTCCTATAAAACTGGAGCATTAGTACTGTGCCTCTTGTGTAAGTCATCAGAACTTGCTGGACCTTTGGTCATGACAAGGTGGTGTGGGACCACCATGGTGGTATTATCTAGCTCCGCCTTGGTGTGGCTTTGTCCTCCTTCCACCTGAAGCCATTCGCCTTCCAATCCCAAGTGGGGCAAGAGCCTCTACTTTGTTATGTGGATTACAATTAAGGATTAAGGGGGCAATATACCTCATTAAGGAGCCTGGATAAGATACTGTCATATGATAAAGGACCTGGAGCTCCCAGCCTTGGGGCACTGAGGCAAGCAGTGACTAAGGCTCTGGATTATCTGCTTAGTCAATGCTGAGAATAACTTCTTGGAGTGGTTTCAAACTGTTCCATTTTGACTTCATTAGCTTATTATAACACTGCAAAGAAACTACAGAGCAGCTCTGTGAACCTTTCTGAAACTTGGGGAGACACTGACATAAAAGTTGTGAGAAGGTGAGGCTTAAAGATTCACTCCCCACCAACTACTCCCCATCCCGGCAGATGCAGCGCAGGCCCAGCATCCAGCTGCTCTTGTTAACATCAACAGAGAGCAGTTTGCAAAGGCTTTGCACAATCTACTCAGAACATTAAAAATATTGAGATGTACTTAGTTTAAGAAACTGAGGTAGCTCAGTTGGTCAAGTGCTTGCAAACATGAGGACCTGAGTTCAGTCCTTAGAACCCATGTAAACAGTTGGGTGTGTAACTAAATGGTAAGACGTGATTGCTGAAGACACCACACATTTTGATTGCAGGAAACAGAAAAATCAATCTTGAACTGATAGGGAAACTCTCTCCCTGCTGGCTGGATTCTATAGTGCTAGAAGTGTTATACAGGCTGTTGGAAGAGAAAAGACATCAATGGTCCTACCCAGCATCATACCCTGCATGCTATAATGCTGACCTACCAGACCAGATGTGCCCACTGGAGTAATAGTGACAAGATTGTTTATGGGATCATCAACTGCTCTCTTGATTGGATTTGAGGCTTCCTCTATAGGAATAAATTCATCCCTGATGCTGTAAACATGGTGAAAACCCATGGCTAAGAGAGTCATAAGCCCAAGGGGAGAACTTACTGATGTTACTTTGCTAAGTGGTCATGTTGTCAAACTGCTTTCTAAAACTTATGTTTACATCCATAGAGTTGTGCTGCTCTCAGCCTTGTGAGGAAGCTTCCAATTGCAGTGGACAGTGGTTAATGCAGAGAGGAATCTCTATTCAAAGTGCTGAGAATAAGCGACTGTCAGAGTGCTTAGCCATTGGCGGTATGTCTATGTCAACCCTCCCACCAAGGCTCAGGGAACATTGTGGAAGATGGGGCAAAAAGACTGTAAGAGCTGGAGGATGGGGAAGTGTGCTGTGACAGGCTGTCCTCTGGGTGCAGTATGACTTGTATACATGAACTCATCACAACTGTGGTTACTTTGACAAGTCTTGCACAAGATCAAGCCAGTTCAAAATTGCAGCACAGGGGCTGGGAAGGTGGCTCAGTGGTTAAGAGCACTGGCTGCTCTTGCAGAGGATCTGGGTTCAGTTCCCAGCACCCACATGACAGCTAATAACCATTCAAAACTCCAGTACCAAAGGATCTGATGCCCGCTTCTGACATTCACAGGTACTGCATAACATGGGTGCACTTACATAATGCAGGGGAAGCCCTCACACACATAAATATAAATAAATAAATAAACAAATAAACAATAAATAAATAAAAATCGCAGCATGGTGGGGTGAGAGGCTCCAGGGCTCCCACCCCTAGCTGAGGAGCTAATGGCAGTTGATGGCTGCTAGGGTGGGTAGAGTTACTTTAGAGGGAGTTGACCACCGGTAGGTTGCCCATCCCCAGTGGATGACCCCACACCCATACATATGTGAGCAACACTAGTTGGACTCAGTGGTTTATAAATAAATTTTTAAGAATTAGAAAGAGGACATGAAGTTGAGGAGGGGGAGATATGTTCTCAGAGGGTCTGGCAGGGGTTTGAGGGAGAGAGTAGAGGACACATGTGATGAGGGTACACTGTATGCATGTATGAAGAATTTTTTTAAAGATGGCTATGGTGGCACATGCTTGTAATCCCAGCACTGGGGAGAAAGAGACAGGTGGAACCTTGGACCTTGCTGACTAGCATGGTCAGTGAGCTCTACGTCCCAATGTGAGGCCTGTCTCAAAAAACAAGATGACTGGCTCCTCAGAATAAACACCCATATACACTTGCACAGTAACAGGCACCTGTACGGATACTTAGTTAACAAGGATAAATTTGCTCCTGATGCTGTCCCAGGCAGAATGTAGTACCTTCCCAGGACACCCTTATTTATACATCAGTTATCATGTCATCACAACTGTAACATTACATGTCATGTACTTTTTCCATTTGTATCTAACTTAGGAAATGAATTCTAGGCTGTGATGTGAGGGTGGTATGCCTCTTTCCTAGCACCTTGTTCATAACAAACACTCAACACAGTTTGGCAAATGAATGATGAAAGAGGGAATTTATCAATGAACAAGTGAGAGTAAAAACAGACTGTTTTTAGGTGAAAAATGCATGAGAAAAGCCAAGACAGAAACTGTTGTTTAAGACTTTAAACAATTGCTTGAGACAGTGCTTTACAATTTCCAGCCTAATGCCTGCCAGTCAGCCTTTGAGACATTGGTGCTGCACCCTCACATTCCCAACTCTCTCTTTTGACTCTAGGAAAATGGAGTCCTATGCAATTTATTGGTGTGATGTGGTATGGTGATGTAAATGAGAAGTATCCCCTATAGGCTCAGGTATTTGATCATTTGGTCCCCAGTTGATGACACTGTTTGGAGAGGTCATGGACTCTTTAGGAAGTGTAACCTTGCTGGAGGAAGTGCGTCACTGGGGGTGGGCTTCACAGCCTCACCCCACTTCCACTCTCTGATTCATGTTTGCAGTTGAATTTGTGAGCTCTCTACTTCCTGCTCCTGACTCCATGCATGCTGTTGCTGCCACGCCTCCCCACCATAATGGATTCTTATTCCTCTGGAACCATAAACCAAAATAAACTCTTTCTTCCACAAGTTGCTTTCTTCATGGTGTTTTATCACAACAACAGAAAGGTAACTAATGCATGTGGTTTTTGACTTAGGGGCATATTTGATGAGAAATCATAGATATTATGTGGTGAAGTTGAAGGGCATACCTTCAACCTTCTTAAAGTGTAAAGACTACATAATTATTTTACACACATACACACACACACACACATGCACACAGGACTAATTGAGTGATTAGATGGAAGTTCTCAAGGAAACTGCAGATGGAAGGTAGACTGACGTGGGATTGGCTCTTCAGTTTTACAATTACTAGCAGGATGTGATGACCATGGAAACATTCCTTGCAGAGCTCCTTCTTCTAGGGAACGTAACTGAACAAGGATTATAGGCTTTGGAGCTCTGAAATCCATCCCTGCATTTGTACTCTGTCCAGGCTGTCTAGGCTGCCCTTGTCAAGTGACTGAGTATGTAAGCGACATCAAGGCAGGCCCCTGGCTGGGAGACGTGGGTCTCCTCAGTGGCTGACTTTGAGTCTGAGACTTTTGATGAACCTTTCTTAGACTGGATAACATTCCAGGACACTTTCATCCACACTTGTTCCTCCTTCTTCCATTCAGGGTCAGACTTTTATCATAATCTACTCATTTTCGCCCATCTTTCCCTTTATGCTCCCTTCCCCTTATTTCTGCAAATAAAATCCATGTCTATGTAATCCTGCCTTGGTGTTTATCACTCAGAGGCTTTGGACCAACACACAGAGCAACCTGAGACAAGTTACTTCCTCTTTAAGTCTCCTCCCTCATCTGCAAAGGTATAAAAAACACCCATCACATGGGAGTTGTACAAATGACTAAATGTGAAAGTGTATGAAAAGCTCTTAACCCTGAACTTGGCAAACACAGATGCCTACATGTGGTGGTTTGAATGGAAATGTCCCCCATAGGCTCCAAGTATTTGGACACTTTGTCCCCAGATGATGCTGCTGTTAGGTTTATTTCTTAGTCCAGGGTCCAAGCTGTTCACATTGGTCAATACCTGTACTAAACTGTGCTCTGTAAAACAAATAAATGACAGAGACAGTGATTGAAAGCACCAGCCTGGATTTCATACTAAATGTGGTGGTTTGAATGAAAATGTCCCCCATAGGCTCCAAGTATTTGGACATTTTGTCTCCAGATGATGGTGCCTTTTTGGGAGGTCTTAGAAGGTGTGGCTATCCTAAAGGAAGCACGTCACTGAGGGTGGGTGGGCTTAGAGAGCGCTGAAGCCTTGCCAGATCTCCAGTTGCTTTCTTGCTTCCTGTACCTGTGTGATGATGTGAGAGCTTAGCTTCTGCTGCTCCTGCTCCAGCCACCTCCAGCCACCATGCCTCCCTGCCATGATGGACTGTAATTCCCCTGGAACCGTAAGCTCAAATCAACTCTTCCTTCTATAAGTTGCTTTAGTCAGTGTTTCTATCACAGCAACAGAAAAGTGACTAATACACCAAGTAAGTGTTTTCTTCTGTTTCATATCTTCTCTTTTCCCTTAGACTGGGATAAAGTCATATTTTCTTGGGCACATCTGACCTATGGCACTTGGAGACAAATGAAGCCTTGCTGTTATAAAATAGTCCTGTTTTAATTACAGTTCCTTCCCCTTCTCATTAACTGCTTCTCAATTTAGGGAAAGCCTTACCTTCCTGACCTCTCTGAAATCTTTGATCTGTTTAATAATGTGGGTTGAAAGGGAAAAATAGCTGCAAGGAGAAATCTGATTAAATCTGTGTTCTGGCTTTATTGCTTCCTTCAATATGGCTAATGCCAAACATCTTACCTTATCATCCAATTTCCGTGCGTTGAATGCGAGTTCCACGTAGTCATCATTCCCAGATAATTCTTCAGCAATCACCTGAATGAGAAGCCTTCTGTCAGCTGCAGCAGAGGTCGAACCTCCCCACACCCCGCCCGTGTCCCTGCCCGAGAGACCAGGAGCACATTCAGGTCATTTTGGTCTGAATATTAACAGAAATAGACATTGGGCAAGGAGCTTCTCCTCCCGCCTTGGGAACATGGAGCACCAATTCCAGCTATTGAAGGGGGCCTCCTAGAACACACAGGACAGGTGACTAGGTTTCGTTGGTGCTGAGCATGAGTTATGAGAGATGGGGCCCAGGCTGAGGATGAGCTCCCAGGAGCAGCAGCAAAGAAGAGCTTCTTCATTTTATTTTTGAGTCACTAGCCACTTTCACTACTGAGCACTTCATACATTGCCAGTGTCACAAAGGAAAGAAACTCTTGTGTTATTTAATCTTAAATAAAGAATATAGGTAAATAGTGACTATGGAATCAGGCAACATAACTTCAATTTGTTACGTTAATGAAGGATGTTCAATATCATTTTCTCTGTTTGGGCAGCAAAGCAAGCCTTGAAGTAAACACTTTTAAAACAATATTCTTTGGAGGCGTGGAGCTTACCGTGATGGAGGACTTTCCCGCCGTGTTCCCGTGCTTCAGCAAGGACTTGGACAGCTTTCTCTGAGATACGATCTGTGGGGAAGGAAATAGAAGGAGCTACTAGTTGTGTGACCACAGGTCTATTTTCAAATACTTTCCTTGCAAAATTCTTCACTCTACCTGAAATTACATTTATGTTCATTTCCCTTCACAGCTTTGTACCTGGGCCTCTCTTAATGCAGATTCTACCCCTTTCCTCCTACAGTGTGTGTGTGCTGTAAGAAAGTAAGTGAGGAACACAGATAACTCAGGAGGAAGTAAAATCAAAAAGAGCTGGAAAATGACGAACATATACATTAAGATAATAGAAATGAAGCTGCAGGATAATCTGAAATGAGCATCAAATCCCAGGAGGAAAACATGTCAGTACGTAACTTCTGGATCTATAACCTCTGAAGTTCTATTTTTAATATATTCATTAGAGAGATATAGGGTTTGTTAGGAAACCAATGCTCAGACAAGTCAATAGGGGGAGTTGAGGTGTTCCTCATGATTCAGTGTCAGGGTGTTACATGCAGTGACAGCTACAGTCATCACACTGGAAGTTATTCTTAGCAGAACTTGCTCATCCCTCTGATTTCCTTCTTCCTGTTTTGAAATATAAGTGTCAAGGCACTGAGGTCTGGATAGCTACTAAGTCATATCCTAAAGGGGAAAGGAGCTAAGAGAATCAAGTTAAAACTGCCTATACTTAAGAAAAACAATATCGTCCTCTGTGGTAGACAGCTTCTGTTTAAGATGGTTTTACCTTCTTTGTGTTCCTGTTATTATGTGAATCTCTCCCGTGAGTATTAGATGGCACAGGACTGCTTATAACGAGCAGAGCACCGGAAAATGATGAGCTATCATTTCTGAGATTAATTTATACATGCCTATGATCTCTCTTTGTCTTTCTGCCTCTCATCTGTCTCTCTCTCTCTCCTCTCTCTATCTCTGTCTCTCTGCCTATCCCCCCCTCACATGAGTGTGTGTGTGTGTGTGTGTGTGTGTGTGTGTGTGTATTTGCTTTGGAGACCACAAACTGCTAAGTTCTAAGTTAGCCCTATACAGAGGCTGATGTGGAAAGCAACTGATGCTTCCTGCCAACAGTCATGTTCATAAGGCAAAACAGAGATCTACCCCTCCGCTGAGTCCAGGAAAACAGCACCTTGCTTGTCTTCACCTTTGAAAAACCTTATCTAGAAGACTTAGAAAAGCCACACCCCGACTCTTGACACAGTGAGATGATAAATGCTTGCTTTTTAAGCTACCACGTTTTGAGGTAAGGCTATTTTTGGTTGATGCACCAAGATAATAATGCACATGTTCTACCAGAAAGCTAGAAAAGGAAGTGACTGTGAAAGGCAGGGACACATTGTCTAGAATTCTCAGACCATGTGTTTTCTGTATTTCTGGTACAGTAATGAAAACACCAAGAGTAGCCTATCCAAATGGAGGAAGTCTAGAAGGCAGTCCAAGGCCAGGGACAGTGAAAGATCCTGATGCTCTTTCTACTAGAATCTGAAGAGCAGAGAATATTTCCAACAAAATCATCTTCTAAAAATACCTATGATAATGGTGATAACTACAATGACAGCAACAACAACACCTCTCATTTAAGGAATGCACTGTATGTGTCAGATGCTCTATTGAACTCGCTGTTGCATGTGATCCCCCTAGTATGTTAGCCTTTGGGCTACACACTAAGAATAAACACGTAAGCAAAAATCTGGTGTGATATCTGACCTTATGGAACTTAGCGTTTCTTCCTACAGATCTTTCAGTAGGAGAGTGGGGAAGATACATGGATAAATGACAAAACAATAGTCACCTGGTTGTAGTCACCAAGCCAGTACATGACAGAATAAAGACCACATTTCCCGCTTCTCAGATTAACCTGTTCTTAGAAGTATTTCTCTCTGTTGCCCTGGTATCTCATGCTCATTGGTTTCCTGCCTCATGACTTCAGTTGATCCCAACAACCCTCTCAGTACTAAAACAGGTCATTCCAAGTGAAGCCAGTCACGGTCAAGCAGGACCTTTGACTTATCTTCACATAGATGGAACTGGTAAAAGAATGGAGGCAGGGGCTCCTCCCAAGCCCATGTTACCCCTGAGGAACAGATCCTCAAATGACCTTAAGAGTAAAAATAAATTGGTTGATCTGGGCCAATTGTAGGGTCGTAAACACCCAAAAGGAGCTAAAAGCTACATAACAAGAAACAATGCCAGACAAGAGATACCTTCCTTTGAGTTGTTTTCCAAGGTGGCACAAGAGATTCCCAGACAGTAACCCAGCACAGAATAGGGAAAATGAACAACAGACCCAATCTTATCGAAAGAAATATTGGCAAATGAGTGCTGCTAAATGAGGAAGACCTCATCTTCCTAAAACAAGGAACTCTAAATAGGCTGTCTAGAGTCAGTGGATGGAAAGCACTGGGGAATGGCTGGGGGTGCCAACAACACAGTGGATAGTAACAGGATGACAGAGTATATGGGCTCCAGTGGGGCCGGGAGAGGGCTATGGGAAGGTGCCATTTGGGAAGTGGGTACATAGATGAACAAGATTGATTCTTTGGGATGTTCTGTACGAAATACACACAAAAAATCAACAAATAAAAAAATGAGTTACATTTGAGGAAGAAACATAAAAATTTTGCTTCATGTTAATTAGTAGAGGTGGAAAACATTACCACTGAAATCTGCCTAATGACTTTATATACACGCTCAGGTGCCAAGGATCTCAGAAAGTAACTGACTGTGACTAGTAATATTCAGATACATAGAGGTTAGAGACAATATAGACATTAGAGACGCATGTACAAACACCTATTAGTTGCGTTAGTAGCATTAAAAATGTAGGAAACAGAATATTTTAAAATGAAATGGAGGCCTTCCTTAAAGGATACTACATGAAGTAACACAGACTCAAAAAAATAAATGACATACGTTCTTCCTCATATGTGGGTCCTAGCACCAAGTACTTTTAAATTCCAGGGCCTTTTAATAAGATGATGCTATACAGCAGTCCCTTCTGCATGAAATATCTACCATCATCATGACTTCAGCTGAGCCTGATCGCTAAACATAGTCACATTTGGGCTTGTTGACGGTTGTGCTCATTCATTAGAGGGCCAAGCAGTGTCATTGGACCCTTACTGGAGTATCCAGGCACTCTTCCAAGCCAACTGTTTGTAATTTGACCCACATGGCCTCCTGAATTTGGGGAGGGCTAAAGTATACAATCTGGAGAAGGCTAGGAAGAGAAGGCATGACCAATTTTGGGTAAAGGCTGTCCAGTGTGCATACCCTCAGGTTATACACATACCTTAGCAACCCCTCAGTTATTTCAGTAAATAAGCTCAATAAATTCATTGGTTCCCCAGTAAAACTTTAATGAAACATTGACTTGACACTAGAACCTTAAAAGGGAATAAGCATTGCTTAGCATCCCCAGGAAAAGAAGTTTCACATATTTTATTCCTTAAACTAGTTGACTAAACTATGACCTTAGAAATTTGAAGATTATGTGTATATTATTTTTGTCTCATCCTTTATATATCATAATATGGGAATGGAGATATTTTCCAAAATAGAAAAATGAGAAAGCCTAAGCAAATGATGAAGGACTATGTAGGGTTGTTCTGATATATAAAGGATGAAATGAAAGTAATATACACATAATCTTAAATTTTCTATGGCCATAGTTTAGTCAGATACTTTCAGGAACAAAATATAAATCTAGACTACTATCCTCAGGCCTCTTGGGGTAAGTCTACAGCGCAGATCTCCGCGCCGGGACTCCCTAAGCCTCATTCACCCTTCCACCCCACCCCCCACCCCTCTAGGGGATAAGGAGAAAGAAGCAGTTCAACAGAGGTAGGATTATGGGAGCAAGGGTACTAGTAAGGAAGAAAGGGGGGGAAGTGCAGGCACCTTAAGTGGGAAAACCAAGATAGAGGGGGGAGACGAT